TATTTTCTAAACAAACGTAGGTCTCCGTAAACTATTTATTATCTACTATGATATCGGACAAAATTAGAAAAAAACCGAAACTTCCATTGAATTATTTGTCATATCACGCACGATCGTGATTTTAAGCAAAGCCATCGATAGTGCGCTGTATACAAAAAGAAAACGATAACGTTTTTCGGAGCGCGCGATCGTGTTTGTGCTTTTCGAGGGCAAAAACGTCCGACGGGTGCGATCGTACAGCACGAAACAGCTTCCTCCGGTCGTAATCTTATAAAAAAAAAAAAAAACCGGACGAGAGAGAGACTGTACCTACCGTTTACCGGGTATGCGGTACCGCGGACGCGTTTAATCGCGAGAATTCCCGTTGTCCGGCGGACGCGATAATTATTATCCGGGAAAAATTCCCGTGCCGATTCGAACCGATCCCGGAGGCCGACGATGCGCCGTTGACGCATCGCTCGTCGCATACCGATCCCGGCACGCGGTAATAGAGTTGACAAATGACGACGACGAGATTTCTATTGCGGACCGTCGTCTCGAGACGTTCCCCCGGCCCACGGTCGACCCGCGTCCCCTCGGCCCGTTAGCGCGAGACCGGCGAGCGCGCGAATTCCCGCCGTTCACCGTCTCGGTCCGGACGGGCGGACGGGCGAGCCAGCGCGTGGCAGATAGGCATGCGCGTGCACGCGAACCGTACGGTTACGCGCCGCGGACATACGCCGATCAATACGGATCTGCACGTCTGCCGCACGCTGTGTGATTCGCGGAGACGCGCGTGCGCTACGTATGCTAACATATCGCGTGTTTGCGGGGCCGGAAACGTGTGCGGACGGCCCGGTGCGTACACACGACGTTGAACAAACGCTTTTGCGCCGCAGCAATTCTAAATGACGCGTTGATTTTCGATTAAACAAACCGTAACTATATTGTTAACGATTTTCCCGAAAAAAATTAAAAAAAAAATATATTTTATATACGGCGATTTGATCGATTTTACCGGACCGGGAAATCTCGTCGCGGTTCAAAAACTCGGTTGTGTTCCAGAAGTTCAGCGTTTAACGCCTCGCTAGTTTTGGCATTATACTGTTTTTCGATACATCGTTTCGTTTTGTATAATTCGAATACCCACTTGATATTTCGCCACGATAAACGGGAAAATATACGAAATGCGTATGCCTGTGTATAAGTATTACTAAAAATATATTACGGCCTTTCCCCCCTTCCCTATGAACCACTTATCTACCACTAATTTTACTCCGATTTACAACAATTTTTTTGGAAAAAAATTTGAATAAGATGGTACTTTAGGGAGGTTGTCTTTCGATTTTCCCGATAAATGGGAAAAACATGGTAAAAACCGAAAAAAACGGAACTATACAATATTAAACAAATATTATAAAAGAAAATATTTAATGCGCATGTAATTATTTGACCATAATGCGGCATATGTATTGTTGGCAAAGTAACGCTATTGACCGAAATCCGCTCAGAATCGTATTTCGTTAGCAATGATGGCTAATCGTTGCGTACAGACATACATATATTAAATTTCCCCTCTACCGTCGCATCTTCTCGCCTACAACAGTGGCCAACTCACGTGCGAAGTATGTCCGTATTTCGACCACAAACACAACTTATAAGAATTAATCCTCCTATTAAATTCGCATGCGTTTCTGAACGATCTAACAATTTGATCCACAGAGTACCTACCGAATAAAAATTACGTACAAAACTCGCAAGATAACAATTTCTACAATTAGCTCAAAAATAGCTAGAATGTTTTGAAATTCGTCCACGTCCGGAAAAGACGATTAGTATAAGTTTTCCGTTCAAACTTCAAGTCTTTACAAATATTTTCGATCGGACCGCAACGAATATGGTTTTTTTTTTTTTTTTTTTTCCCCAGTTTGACGAACGCCTGACGTCCCGGACGTCGTTTTCACCGTCGCCGCGTTTCTTTAAACATATAGTATGCATATATTTTGTTTTAAACGCATCTGCTGGTAACCCGCGCCGCGCGAATGTTAAAAAAAAAAAAAAAACACTTCGAGGCGGATCGCCGTAACGACCTGCGAGCCGAGCGGCTTGTCTAGAAGTAACGGAGTTCTTACATCGAATTTCGATTGAACATAACGCGCAACAATAATCACATTATTGTTTGCCGGTCAACACGCCGACGCTTTTTCCGTTCGCGCACTTTACATCGTAACAATAACACCTATCACAGTGTTGTTTACTGCGGGTGTACCGATATCGCGATAACGCTTTTTTTTTTTTTTTTTTTAAATATGCACCGAGCGCCTTTGTTATTATTATTTTTTTTATTGTAATTATATTTTCTAATAAACGAGCGCCCCGGCATCGCACCGCGGCGGCCCGGTGCCCGTTCAATGTGCGGCGCGCGTACCGAACAACAATAAACATATCTAGAAAGAGAAGGAAAAAAAAAAAACACGTAATTTTTAATGAAGTCGAAAATCCCGTACACGCCAATCACCATAAACCCATACACGTCATAATGTGTGAGCACGAGCATGTGCAGTGTATGCGTTGTGCACAGTTCCGCCGCCGTAATAATTATCGCTGTCGGCGAAACGGATTTATAATTGCAGCCGACTTAACGGGATAATATCTGCGGCGGCGGCGGCGTTTAACCGAAGACGATTTTTTTTTCCCCGCTATTTTCTACGGCGCTTATTGCGGGCGAGTAGCGATTTGCGCCGCATGTAGAATTATAGTGGTGCGCACCGTCGTCGTCGCGAATAAACTAGTTTCGGTTCTTGCGGGTACGAAAAAAAAAAAAAAAAAAAAAAAAA